AACCCTTGGTCCCAGTCACAAAACATATACTCTGAAGAAGGTTCAATTCCATGCTATTCAATGACAACATGGTGACTTGTGTGGTTGTCAGCGGCCATTTTGTGAGGGTGTGACATGATTGCCAGATTGTGCATTAATACCCCGTTTCACCCCCCTGGTCCCAGTGGAATAAGCTCCGCCAACGGTTGAAATATACTCTAGTATGCTTTATAAGAGCATTCGTGGAATTTTTCCCAAAATCGTTGCACAACACTTGGAAATGCAAACGAAAATATAAAATTATTTCCATAACGCCGCAAAATAGCTCCGTCGGTGCCTCGGGTTATACATCTTGACAGTAAGGATGTTCGATAGGATCCTATATTCAGAAGTATCAATACATTTCACAAGTATCGTCATCTTTCGATCCGGACTGTGTCAGAAAGAGTGACTGCCATTTGGCTGCGACATTACCCTGCCAAATCAGACATATCTTTCATCATTTTCAAAGAAATTGTACAAAATCTTCAAATTTGTGAAGTTAACGAGTTTCACTTCATACGTTGTTACCACATATGCCCAAATCATCAGTTGCTGCCGTGAAATTCATCCCGACCACTGCATGACCACGGCAATGCGACCTGTATGTTAAATTTGTATTGATAGGGCATGCGGGTTATGGTATAAATCATGTCACAGTTTTTGTGCACTGATTGCAACGGTTAGATGATACCAAAAATATTTTCATAAATAGGAGATCTTTCCCATTCCGGATCGAACATGATACCTGGTAAATTTACATGAAAAATCCTCTGTATGTAGATATATAATACCTTTCTTATATTTGTACATCAATTTGATGAACCATCACATCTGCTAAAAATGATCATAATCTGGATCGTAAACTATGAGGAAGGTCCGCTGTATGTAAGAATTTTCAGATACTTCATTTGCAATTCGACAACAGACCATGACCATGTTCACATTTTTCAAATATTCTTCAAGAAGTGTTATCAGTCTAGCTCCAACTATCATTAGTACTATGTTTGTATTCCTACTTTAAATTCAAAACCAGCAAATGTAAAAGATTCATGTCGCCCCCTTCACCACGGGACGTGACCGTCGTTAGACTTGGCAACCCTGCGAGTGACAGATAGATAACCCCACCAGTGAAAAAGGCAATCATACAATAAACATTAATAGTTTTCATGATTTTTGGACTTAAAAGACATTATTTGTGAGACATTTTTCATAACTTTTTGTCTATGTCCATAGTAATTGCATTATGCATCACGGAGATCTAGGGATTGACACGTCTTACACATATTATCTGTGCTTTAGGATGGAGAGGACAATGTTTTTATTTCTTTGAAAAAATTCATTAACCCGTAAATTAATAAATGATTACTATTATGACTTAAAGAAAGATGAGGAATTGGATGGAATGTATTTTATATTCTATTTTCTTGCAAAATACAGACAAATCCACACTATTCAACAGGTATGTAATGATAACAGTATATTGAACTTAAATTCGAGATTGCCATGCATTAACAAACATCCAAATCTGCTGCCAAATTTAACAGCTAGAAATTCGACCTATTATTTGTCGCATTCCCATAGGCTTTGGGGATAACTGATTGTCAAATGTACACCTATAACATAAATCAAAATACATGAAAGTTGACCTGTTCTCGCTGTACAAACGCATCATGTTGGAATCAAAAAGTGGTCTTGTTTATAATACAGTAGAATTTTCATGATTTTATTCAATATTTTAATAGAAATCATTGATATTCTGAGACCTTTGACAGCTTCTGTCAAATTGCATTTCGATAAGGTATTTTTCCATTGGTCCATAATATTATTGTTGGTGAAATCGACCCTTAGCCTCTATCAGCGTAGGAGCTTACCATTCACTGAAGCCACCCGTTTCGCCAATTTTGTTTACAGATCAAAAAACTTCAAAACAAAGAAAATTTGTATTTCAAAAATAACTAATAAATTGAATACCACAACAGTTTGATACAACTTATTTCTAAATATGGGAAGGCATCACATTGGGAACAAAAAATAATGCTAAATAAATGCTATAACATTTAACCTAAAGGATGTGTTGAAAGTAACCACCTCTGGATTCAACACAAGCCCGTGCTCTACGCAACAGACTCTCTGACTCTTCACTTCGTCCTCATACTTCGTGTCCGGGGTCGCTAACGATTTGTGATCTTCTTTGTTGACTCACCTAATCCGAAATGAGAAAAAAAGTCAATAATTTCAGAAGTACTACTCAAATTGACTGGTTCCAGAATTACTAGTTGTGATTTTAGACAAACAATCAGAATCTAGCATGGGTGAGACCAGGAGAAGTACACCAGGAAAGCCAATGGCGTGCATAGACAAGGTTTAATGAATGATAAGCTTCTACGGTAGTGATTGAGGATAAGACACGCATATTATTCAATTAATGTTGTAATGAGGTGCCATAGCTTTCTTCACACGCCATATTGTGTCATCAATATCACATTACACTGAGTTTCCAAAACAGGGGAGGCTAAACCTTTTCATAAGAATATTTTATGATTTTACCTCAAATATTCAAACCTAAATATGTCCAAAACGAGAGATCTGAGAGACAAAATTTATGGAAAATTGGATGATATTTTATAAAATTATTTTCTCCGTAAAGTCCAGTGACGTAGAAAATATTTCCAGGTACCCAAGCTTCTGCCTCCATCATTTACTTTGGGATGGAAAACTCTGTTAGTGTATTGCTGAAGATGTGCTCACTGAACGCCTAAAAGCTTAACTCAGTAGCTTTAGCCACTCCGTAGATATATTTTTTAAATTTCCTAAATAAAGCTTCATCACCCTGTATCTCGGTAGAATACCCATATTGATGGGAACTTTTTTATTAGTTCTGGATGAAGTCTCTTCCCTAGAAATATTGAAAACACCCTGTATATGATAAGTGCAACCCGTTTATAATGGACTCGGCGGGACTGTGACAAAAAGTCTATTATAGGCGGATGACCATCTTAAAGGAAACACTTTTTTAATAAAAAAAAGCAGCAGAAATATTATATTAAAAGCTTAAAATGTGTTTGGTTTCATCATTGTCAACATTTACATACTCATTAAATTTGTCTATATAATAATTTTTAGTAAATCACTTAATGGAATTTCTGGATTAAACTCGTTGACTATTTCAGTTATGTTTCTCACTAAACCAGCATGGCGAAAACAATTACGAATCATTTCTGGAGTAACCAGTTCCCCTGCAATAGTAAGCAAATTTAGAACATCTAAAATGGTGACAGTTCTGGTAATGCTGACATCTTCTTGAAGCTTCATAATTTTCATCAACATATGTTTTCGATACATTTATTTAAGATTCCAAATGACACCCTGGTCCATTGGTTGCAGAACTGATATCACATTGGGTGTAAAAAATTGAAGGTTGATGTTATTAACTGAAATATTTGGATGAGCGCGGCAGTTATCGACCAAGAGCAAAATTTTACGATTTCAGCGTCCCACTTTTTTTAAATATTCTTAAAAAATTTATGAAGTCATCCAAGCTTTATTAGTTCCAACATAATCGACGGGAATTGTTTTAAGATTTTGGAAACACCTGGGATTCTTAAATTTCCCAGTAAATAAAAAAAGGTAAATAAATATATATATATATATATATATATATAAATTCTTTGCAGCATTGCCATTGAATATCAAAAAAATTAGAACATGAATTTCAATTCACTCACTTACCTATTATTAATAGTTTCCATTTTTCAGTACCAGAAGCATTAGCACAAATCATGACAGTTTTTCGCTCTTTGGATAGTTTCCCTCCATTGCAACATTACACTTTTTAATTTATGAGTTTTATCTAGTAGCATTCCATAAAATATCCCGGTTTCATCTGCATTGAATATGTTATCATCTGAATAATCAGTGGATATTACGGGCCAAACTTGAGAAATCCAGTCATTGGTAACGTTCTTGTCAACTGAAGCTGAGTCACCATACGTTTTTCCAAAAACAATGTTATGTCTTTTCTTAAGCCTGTCTAGCCAACCGGAACTACATTTGAAGAAATCTCCAATCAATTTTCCAAATTCTTCAGCCTTTATTTGAAGCATAGGTCCACTTATTGGAAAATTCAAGTCAGAATAAATTTTGCGGAAATACTTATTTCTTTATTAAAAAGATGCCCCACTTGTATCCGTCAGATTTGAGGTCTTTTTGTACATTGCTGAAATAAAGCTTTGATTATCTAATTTGTTTTTTTTATTTTTACGAAAACAATGCACTCTAGGAAAAAACACAAGAGTAGTTATTTGTAGCAAATTGAAGGTAAAATTCGAAAAATTATGCATTTCAAAAAAACAGTGGCGTACTATTTTTATTTGGAAACATAATGCCAATAATCCCCCGTATCTACGTCACTGATGCACGTTAATTTTAAGTAAAGACTTGTGAATGTGGACAATACTTAGGTAAATCCACATATCAAATTTTAGTTCATTCCGGTTGACGGTTTTGAAGATATTAAAAAAATTGTTTTTTATTTTTAAAGACCCCCCCTTAAAATGTAGTCCTGTGTGTGATGGTTCATTTTTGGTCACGACTTGTGAATCACCCTGTATACATAAAAAACGTTTCAGCAGCTTTGTCATACGCGCTTTTAACAAGCGTTGCTTAATTAATATCTTTTGTCTAGGCAGCACAACCAAAAACCCACCATAATGGAAATTATGGTCATTATCGCTTAGCAGAAGTTTGATACCACATATACCACACCTTCCACTTGTTTTGCAATGATATCAGCACACCATGAGAAAAAATTAATAAATGAAAGGAAATAGTTACTTGAAGATTGTGAAAAGCTTTAGGTAATTGTACAGAACGTTCTCCTAATCTAAAAATGTTTCCGCAGTAAATACTTGACATTCTTTTAAGTAATAGTTCGGTAGGTATATAATGGCCAGCGAATATGGGATTAATATACGGTTATCAACAATTTATCACCAAATAAGCAAACCGAAATTGCAATTACTAAAGTCACCATGAGATTTTTCTCCATTTTTGCCATGTCCATTTTGGCAGTGGCTTTTGTGTCAGCTGAAAAGGAGGGTAAGTTTATCCATTTATGTACATAACTAACGGGTGATTTTTTAAGAGGTATAGGATTTGATTTTCAAAAAAAACACACCGCCCATAATCCACACCAAACAGTGATTTTTTCGGGATGTATTGGTAGCTCTTGCAATGCTTCTGGCTGGTCTTCACTACAGATGCGGCAATTTGGCTTGTTAACGTACTCCAGAAATGAGCTTCGTCGCTGAACACAATTTTTCGATAAAAATGTGGATCTTCCTCCAACTTTGCCAGCGCCCATTCACCAAATTGGAAACGTTGTGGGAGGTCGTGTGGCTTCAATTCTTGCATCAGCTGTATCTTATAAGGTTCTACACCCAAATCCTGTCGCAAAATTTTCCACAGAGGCCCAATTGCTGCGAACGGCGGCGAATCGACATTTCACGGTCATCATTAACACTGGCGGATACAGCCGCAATATTTTCTTCAGTCCTCACTCTACGTCTGCGTGTTGGTGGTTTAATGTCCAATAATGTAAACTGGGTACGAAATTTAGTCACAAGCTTCCGAATAGCTCCCTCAGTAGGCTGACCAAATTGCCCATAAATTGGAAGCAGTGCTCGATGCACTCTCTTAACCGACCATGAATTTTGATAGTAAAGTTCAATAATTTGCAAGCGTTGTTCGTTCGTAAGTCGATTCATGGTTAAATTATAGACCAAACTGAACAAGTTTGACATGATTCACGCGTCATCCGTCAAAAACAGTGTTGCCAAAAAGATACTAGCAAAAAAATCACCCATTATAACGGTAATTGGCATTCAGTTAATATTGCAATTGTAATAGATACCCTAATGCTGATTCCCAAATATCTACTAGAGCTCCCCCTTTGTCTCGTATTTTTTCTTTTCTGGCTTTTCCTTTATCCACAACATGTTTTTTCCAAATATTGCTGTCAATGTTTTTATTTTCCAGTACTATGCAAATGTCACATCTGCCGTTCTTTGGTGAAAACAAACTCACGTTTTCCTCTTCAAACATGTGTTTGAACACCTTATTTTTATTATCGCAGATCTCCGTAAAAATTATGCAATTGTTTTAAAGTAACGAAATGTTGCTCTACGTATAATTTACTATTATCTTTTCTCACATAGTGAGATGGCTGTTTCGGAATTAGAATTATAGTAGAATTGTAGTATATTGTATTCTATATTACTCTGAGCAAAAGTTAATATACGTGGAAGATCCTGGTATTAATAGCTTGCGAGTTACAGGGCGTGCAAGTATAATAACTTCATTAAAAAGTAAATGTAACATGTGATAGATACATCGTTGAATTTATCAAAAACAAAACGTCGGGCACAAAATTTAAAAACACCACCATACCATGTAACGCCTAAAAAGTGCCAATGGAAAAATTTTATTAGTTTTTTTGATGTTCCTTAAATTAAAGTCAGAAACAAAGAAAAACAAATTTTAATTTTTCCCAAATACCTTAGTATGAAATTATTACAAGTTTCTCTCGGTTTTTAATTTTCAAGACGGGCATCTCGAACAATTTTTCATCATGAGAATACATGTTATTCATTTACGCTCCAGCTGGCGTTTTGGTAGCCTCTTGCACAGGTCATGGTGAATGCCGAAACTCGGTGTAGTAGCGGCGCTGTGCGGCTCGGCGGTGTTATCGGCAAAAAGATCAAAATAATTTCAGGTCATTCTCAACAAATCATTTGGGGGAAGTATTTTGGAAATATTTTGATTTCTTCCGTTTTCAAATTTTACTTGGCGTTATTGAAAATGAAAGGATATCAATAATTTTAAAAATTAACAAGGATTTATTTTTTTAATCACGGATAATCGTAATCATAATATTAGATATTTGATAATAATAGTAGCACACAAATGATAGGGAAATAAGCAATAATATCGACGCCATTTCTTAAGCAGCAAATGATTCTACGTCTATACTTCTTTCAGGAGATGATCCAGTAGTTGTTCGTTATTTTGCAGCAGCGGGCAGTGCAGAACCATCACTAAAATGTGATGCGGTAAGCTGTAACAGCGACTGTGTAAACAACTGGGGCTGGGCTGGAGGATTCTGCTTCATGGGCGACTGCTGGTGCTACATATAGAAGTTTTAGGCTCATCAAATTCGTGTACTTACAGTTTATCCAACATTGTTTATTAAAATGTAATAAATGATGGTTGTAGTTTGAGTCTGAAACACGATGTCCTTTAACCGCCCCCATAAATAAAAATCAAGGCAAGTTTAGTCTGGGGATCGTGAAAACCATGGAAACAGACTTCTTCTTCCAGTTCACCGCTGTTGAAATACTGCATTAATAAGCTCTCACACAATAATAACAAAATGTGCTGGGCAAACATCTAACTGCAAAAACAAGTTTTGCCGTGTTTAAAATGGCACATCTTCCAACCTCGTACAATGGCAATTGATTGTCCAAAAGGTCAAAAGAGACATTGCGATTTCGGGATTGCTCAAAAAAATATGGCCCAATAATTCTGCCTCCCAGAATGCTTCACCACAAATTTAAGCTCCAACGCCCTTGGTCTTGAGCTTTACGCAACCAATGCGGATTTTCTGCAGATCAATAATGCATCTTGAGCAGATTGACTATCTCTTCACTATTAAAGGTGGCTTCATCCAATCCAATCAAAGTCTTACTCTTTTAAGGCCTGATAAATTCAAATAAATACCTATATTTTGATGGCCATTAGAACTTATCTATGGTACTTTAAAATATTTTTAACTGTTGTGCGTGATATGCGCAACAAGGGATAATGCCCTTGTGCCATTATGAGAATTTCCTTCAATACAGGGTTATCCAAATTAAGTGTCCACCATTAGTAACTTTGTTATTAGTGAAAATACAAAGTTGTTTGAATTAGCAAACTAGTAGCATTTTTAACGCTGGTAAAAATGAGAAATAAAAAAAAACAATTGAGAGTCGTTATTTTGATTTTTTTCAGTAAAATAACATTTTTTTAAATGGAAACCCCTGTATATTATATTTTTTTCTGTTAAAGCATCAAATTTTAAACAAAAAAGCTTACAATAACTTTTCTCGTAGGTTACAAATTGTTGAAGTTATGGCCTCCAATCTGAAACAATTAAATTGTATCGACAAACTTTATTTTCAACATCAACTTATAATCTTACAAAATACAATAACAATTTTTTTTAAAGAAGATGCTCGAAAACACCACCTTGTTCTTCAATACATTTTTGGGCACGTTTTTCAACTGCTCGAACTGTCTTAAGTATGGTCCTACCATCTATCTGGGTTATCCTTTCCCTAACTGCAGTCTTTAACGCGTCAAGGTTATCGTACCTTCGCTTGTAAATTTGGTTCTTTAAGTAACCCCACAAGAAGTAATCAAGTGGGTTTAGATCTGGTGATCTGGGAGGCCACTGTATTGGGCCATTTGTTCCTATCCACTGATCATTAAAAGTAGTACTTAGAAAATGATAAGTACCTCTGGAGTTGTGGGCAGGTGCGCCATCTTGCTGAAAATGCAGATGATGTCTACTTATAAGATCCAATTCGTCTAAGAAATTAGTCAGAATTTCTGACATAAATTCCACATATCTTTCACCAGTTAGGGTTCCCTCATAAAAGAACGGGCCAACAATTTTTGAACCAATTATACCGCACCAAACGTTGAAACTGAAACGGACTTGTGGGCCTCTTGGATGTACTAACAAAAGATTTTCTCTTGACCAATAATGGTGGTTTTTTCTATTAAACATTCCAGAATTTGAAAAATTTGATTCATCTGTCCATAAAAGGTAACGAAAGTTATTTACATTTTGGCGACAGAAGCTAAGATACCAATGGCAAAAAACAAGTCGTCTCTCTGGATCCCCTGCCAAAAGCGTTTGAACTGGTCGGTACTTATACGGAATAAATTTGTATTTTTTTAAAATCCTTTGAACAGTACCATAACTGAAATTAGAGTCCTTGAGAATATCTGCTATTGAATTCTCACGATAAGCTTCAAAATATCCAATAACTGCAATTTCCGTGGCCTCGCTTATTATGAATTCTTTTTTTGCCCTTGTTTTAGCAAAAACATTTTCGTTGCCCCTAAATTTTCGATAAAGTCTCAGAAAATATCGTTCATACGGTTGAATGCGAGCGGGATATAATTCACTGTAGTATTCTCTTGCTCTCAAGGAGGATTTTCTGCACACTAAATAGCATTCTAACATATCACACTTTTCTTCATGGGAGAACATTTTTCTTTAAATTAATGACACAATAAAGCTTATAAACAAGTATTTACACTAATGTTTGACATTATTTGATTTTATCATTGTTTTCCAAAGCCTTCTAGTTGCGAGTATGTCCAGTTTAACAATTTGTCGCTTATCTTAATGCTGTCAAATCGCGAACGCCATGTTGTTTTCATAGCCGTCTTAATATTATAATACTGCAAATAATTAAAAATATTTATCGTTATTTTGACTTTATTTTTGACTTTAGCGGAAAAGTCATTATGAACTTTTTTGTTTAAAATTTGATGCTTTAACAGAAAAAAATATAATATACAGGGGTTTCCATTTAAAAAAATGTTATTTTACTGAAAAAAATCAAAATAACGACTCTCAATTGTTTTTCTTTATTTCTCATTTTTACCAGCGTTAAAAATGCTACTAGTTTGCTAATTCAAACAACTTTATATTTTCACTAATAACAAAGTTACTAATGGTGGACACTTAATTTGGATAACCCTGTATATCCCAGTACTCGGTTTAAAATGCTACTGCGCGCCACTAGTCGGAGAAAAACTCTAACAAGTCGCCGATTTGGATATCGAGTCGTGTAAACTCTTTTTGCTACTCCGGCATTCTAAAGACGTTCAAAATAAACTGCAAGCAAATGATCAGCTTCATCGTTCGCAAAAAGCACTTAGTGTGCATAAAAATTGCTCAAAGTAACGCAGCTACAGCTATTGAAAATTTGAGGATTATGTATGATTTGATTAGGTATTTGTTTTGCTGTATTCCATGGTTCGCTTCTATTAATTGTCTTTTTCGTATATTCCCATAGTGAATAAGCATTCAAACAAAATATATGCCTTTCATTATTAGCATTACTTACTTACCTTTTAGCAATGTTTTGTCAAATTTTCACACATTCTGGTCCCGCCTACGAGATCCGCTGGGTGGTACCTCCGCGTTCAACAATCAGAGGCCTCCTACCACCTACGTACTGAATTCAAACTGAAGCCCAAAAACATACGGAGCTTGCCCGAACCGAAAGATGCAGCAGATATACCACCCAGATATGGAAATGGCAGAGCGTTGCCACATGCTCGGTAACTACCAGTAGGGCAGGGAAAGAATGCCTATAGAGTAATTGTATGGGCCTCTTTGACTAACTTAATACGTTCAATTTCTCGGTTCTACATGTTCGTAACTCAATATTTTCTCAGATTTAAATTGCACTGAACTTAGTCCTCCATGAGCCGATAATGGCGTGGCATAGGAAGTACAAAGTCAACCCACTTGACTCGACTTTAAGAGGTGAGGCCCAAGTAGCTTATTGTAGGAACCTGTCTACAGAATAAAATTCATGATTTCATATATTTTGTTGCATTCAGTCATTTTGTGACATTTTGTCTTTAGCGTTGACACTATCTATACAGGGAGCTTCCTAATTGAATTGCTGGGGCTTGGAGAGCGACCAAAGTTTTGGCCTACAACATAAAATACCCTAACATGTCTAGAACTAATATAATCATTTCATTATCTTAAGATCATGCACACCACCAAAACTGTGCGGGTTTGGCCGTTGTGCATCAGCAAATGTGACCTGGAGTGACCTCATGGTAATGTTCCCGTCCACCTTGGGCGATTTGACACAGTCGTCGTCGGACTGAAAGCTTCTTCTGCTCATATGTAAAACGTTCGGCCGTCTGGCATCACACACCACATATGTGTATTTTACCATCACCTGTTCACATTATTAGCTATACTAATATGACTATGCCTACATGGAATGCCTTATCTTCAGTGACGAAGATCGCAAGGTTTAGGTGGTAATAGTGCGACACTGGAAAATGAAAAAATTATATCCAGACTACTAATACAATGGACCATAAGTTAACAGTTATGTGTATATGTAATGGAAAAGGAAAGTATTACGATCAAGAATTTACAGGTTCTATTATCTATTTAAATTGAATGCGTGGGCTTATACAGTTATTTTCTTTAATGTACCGCTCCTCGTTGATTTTTTGAACGGATGAATTCAAAAAATTAAAACTTGGGGTAATGAAATTGATGCGTGGATACCATATTTTAGAGTAAAATTGACCGATGAAAATGTCAAGATGAACGGTGGGCGCCAAATTGGAAAAAAAATTATATGGAAACGGGATGATGTGCCACAACATCATCTTGAAGCTCCTGATGAGTACTTTATAATCCTAGAATATAAAGTCAATACCTTTACCTACTACAAAATGGTGATACATTTAATAATTACTTGAACACAAACCCATGCATATATACTAAGTGACATATAAATCCGAACACCCAGTTTAAATGGTTTTATTTTAATAAAAGTTGGTGAATGTATTTATCTTACTGTAAATAACAAGTGAACAAAATTTCAGCCTTATCAGTTGGACAGTCCGGTTTTTATACTGCTTTTTTTTAATTCACTAACGCTCTAAAAATGAATATTTCAGCCGCAGTAAAGAATCAACGTAGGCGGATTTTGGTTCTTGACATCCTTTACGATCGATTACGATGCCTAGAGTACGGAGACCTGTACGATTTCGTCAACTTAGTGAGTCTGATAGGGGCCGTATAGTGGGACTTCGGGAAGCTGGACTTTCTTTTCGGGCAATTGCAGTTAGAGTGCAAAGAAGTGTAGACACTGTGGTTACGTGTTGTCAGGCATGGCTTCGAGGAGGCCGTACGCAAAGAGCAAGGGGCACTGGACGCCGCCGTAGAACAACAGACCGTGAAGATCGCCGCCTAAGATTATTGGCCTTAAGGGACCGTTTCTCCACTACCAGGTCCATTACAAATGAATGGTTTGCAGAACACGGAAGACCTATTGGCATGCGAAGTGTTTACCGACGAATGAGAAGTTTTGGCTTGTTTTCATACCGGCCATACTGGGCCCTCCCTTTAACTC